TCAAGTAAAGCAGTAAGTACCCTTTTGAACTCATGCTTAAGCCATTGCGGTAGCCTCATATTCATGGTGCTTCCAAAGAACATTTTGGGGTTGAACCATCACAGAGGGAAATGAAATAATTATCTGGTTAACTCTGGGGAAACCAGTGTTTTAGGAGGAATGTGGGAATGAACTGATATCCTGGTGTGGCTGCTGGAAGTTCCAGGAGGAGATCCGGAATGATCAGTGTAACCTCGGTTTAAGAGCAACCCTCCCCAGGATGGAAATGCCGTCTTCCAAGGCAGAGCTTGAGATGTGGCGAGGCCTGTGGGATGCTTGCCAAGTCTGTCACATTAACAGAATCACAGATGGCACAGCCAGATTGCCGTTGGCTTCCCTGCCATCCTAAAATCTCTACACAGTGGTCTGAAATCACTTAAATTTAAATACTTACTTTGGTAAAGTCATCCAGTTCTGTATATTATCATTTACTACAAGCCAGCCTCTAAAATGTTATTATTGATATTTTACATTTCAACAATGTCACATCTGACAGTAATTTACTTGGATCTGGAGAAATGTGATGTGGTTATCATGGCTCTTTAAGGATTTAGGTTATTAGAACTGGTTCTAGAAAATTCTTGGTTGCTAGCCCTTTGGTTTAATCTTTAGAAACCACCAAGGCTACTTAAATATTTTAAACTTTTTAATGCAACAAATCAGATTTTCATTCATTAGAGCATATTATATTCACATGGATAATTCAAACAATGACTTTGAATAGATGCAAACTGAGCAGGCAGCTCAAGCTAAATTTTCTGGAGATGATTTTCAGTGGCCAGGTTTTCCAGCAAATTCATTAGCTACAGTTTGACACACATTCAAATAAAGAACAAGATTTAATTTTAATGCATTCATATTCACCATTTAAGACAGTTTGGAAAAAATGGTTATTCAATACCATCCACAGATCTTGTTGAAAGCAGCTAAAATTTAGCTCAATTTTGATTTATCTCTTAGGATCTGAAATTCCTGTTTTAAAGAGATTTTTTAAAACATGGTATTTGGATTTTACAAAGACATACTTAAATAGCAAGGGTGGAGTAAGAATCCAAATCTCTGAGATAAAAAACCCATTAAGATAATGGTTATTAAACCTATATTGAATTGTACTTATCAGGCTTTGGCATAACTGGAAGGTTTTCCATGATAGATTTGAGTTTCATCGAAGAATAAACTTTTGTGAAAATATGCACAAGTAAATTACTGCTGAACATTTGTAAGTGTGGGCAAAACCAAGGGTGGAATTTGGTTTGCTGTTTGGACTACTTGGAGACTTTGCTTTTATAAATTATAAATGAGAATATTTTATTATTTCTGTCTTTGGGAACACCTTGAGCCAGGTGCTTTAAGTTAGGTAAGTTTTAGAAGATATGTTAATCCTGGTTTTACCAAGGCCTCATTCAGTGACCTCTTCAGTAGCCATCTTTTTAAGTGGCTCTGCCTCTAAGAGAGAACGAATTTATTACTTAATGGACTAGCTTATAATGTAGGAATCAATTAGCTAGTGATATTTTGATTATTGCAAATGGCAGATCCAAAGCACTGTATCCCACACTCTCTAACATTCTTTACTTAAATATTTCTAAATTAGTTTCTTAAAAGATATTAATTTTAGGATGATGACACTATATTTAAGAAATTTCCCATTATAAAATGCTACCTTTTATAGCAGTGCTTGAGCTTACCGCTTTTCTCTGTGTCTTTTGTTTAATTGTGGCAACTTTATTTCCTAGAAAGACACTAGAATTATATTCAGAAGAGCTGGCTTGAATCTTGGTCTCCCTATCAGTTAGATGTGTAATTTTGGGCAAGTTACATCTATATTAGCTTCATTTGTTTTATCTAAAGGTAGAGGTGGTAATAATTTTCAGCATTGTTATGATGTTAAATGAGATAATATTTGTGAAAACCCATTACTGTGAAGCGATCTGTGAATGTAATGAGCCTGATGGTACTATACCTAGTTTAATTGGCATTTCATCCAATTAAGATACTTACTATTTAGTAGCACGATTTTTAAATGCTGTCTGGCCCCTGAAGATAAGAATTGTACAGAATAATGCGTTGAATGTTCTTTTAGATGCATGTTCTGAGTATCTTCTCTCTCTTTTCTATCCCTATGAGTGCGTAAGGGAAAAGGAGATTCTACTAAGGTGGGTGCTCTTTTACCTCTCCCTAATTGTCAATTTACAGATTTTGTGTTATAGTAATGTCTAGTAATAACCAACACTTAAATAGTGCTAACAGTGTGCCAGGTACAACTCCTGGGATTTTTAGCATTAACCTGCACAATCCCTCCAGTAACCCTGGGAAGTGGGTGCTGTTATTCCCACCAGTGTAAAGGTGGTAAAACTGAGGCACAGAGAAATGAACTTGTTTAAAATTACATATTCAGTGTTACCAGTCACATTTAACTTTCTTATATCCTTCCTTCAGCTCTTAAGGAATCATATATCAGGATAAAGGAAGTCATGAGCAATTACTTGGGTCTTGGATATAAAGGATGGCATCTCATCTTGGAAAAATGATGCTGCCTGTCTGCATGTTGGAATTATTCAGAGATTGTTGCCTGTTTACTTTTTAAAAAAACCTCTAGTGCTTATTACTGGATGAATTATTGTTAACTTACTAGGACTACTCTCACCTGAACCCAAAGTATACTAACAGGAAGGAGAACTTGTCAGAAAGACTCAGTCGTCTCAGTTCTGTGCTTATGAGTGAGAATAACTGGTAAAAAAAAGCCCCAAAGCCCCACCCAAAGAAGTGTTCCAGAGCTCATGCACTCTTTTTTTTTTTTTTTCAGATTTCGAATTTGTTTGACTTGGTTACAATGCACATAGTCATTCTTTAGGCATGTTGCCATTCATTTAAGCTACTCACTTATTTGTTTATAAATTTAATGCATTTTATTGAAGATGTCCCATGTGCCAGGGATGCTGAGGGGTGTTGGAGAGTTAGGATGGTGAATATGACAGGTACATACCCTCCGCTCTCGTTGAGTTTATAAACTAGTGGGAAATGACAGACTAAAAAGAAAAACATCTTACAAATAGAAAACACAACTGCTCTGACTAGTGCTACAAAGGACAGGAACATGGTGCTCCAGGGATGGATAAGACGAGGCATTTGGCAGATACCGGGTGGTCATAATTTGTTTTCTATTGTCTGTCTTTGGCCTTGTGTAAGATGTCAAAACTTAGAGAGGAAGAACACAGAGAGGGCAGACTGGAAAGACTGGAGAGGAGCAGAGTTGGCAGGGCAAAACGTTGCATAACACAAGATGGCCACAGGGAAAAGAAGGAAGAAAAACCTAACTTGAGCAGTGTAGCTCATTTAATAAATAAATCCCTGAATATATCACTTCATCGTATAAGAAGAATAGAGATATTTGTAATAACTACAATTTTTTTCAAGAAAAGTTATTGCATATTCATTCTAGTCAACTCAGCAAAAGAGGGAGCAACATAATAAATTTAGAATGATTTCCATTAACATGGTTAAAGTATTTTTTGTTTGAAAGTTTATGTGTCAGTTTTATGGCAATTTATCCAGAGTATTGGATAAATAGGATTATTGCTGTCATTTATACTGTGCTTAAAGGCAACAAGAATATTAATTGCAAAAACATTTCTAGATGGGAAGATAGTAAGACCCTGGTTTCTGATTCGAACTGATGGCCAGGCCCTGGATAAATAATAATTGAGAAGATTCTGTTTACCTTAGTGAATATGGGATAATAGCATTTTTCCTGTTGACTTGGGAAGATATTTTTTTTTCACATGCATTCATTCAATTAATATTTATTGTGAACCCACCACTGTATTTTGGGAATATAGTGGTAAGCAAAGGAGACATGATCTTAGACCTCATGGAACTTACAGTTCAATGGGAGAGACCAATGTGCATGTACCATGGGTCTTTATTTTTGCTCTTCCCTTGGCCTGCACAGCTAGCTGTTCCCTCGTGTGCACACCACATGCCTCCTCACTTCAGTTGGGTCTCTGCTCAAATGTCACCTCTTTGGAGAACTACCCACTGTCTTCACCCATTCAGGTCACTCTCCCTCTGTCCCTTGCTTTACCATTTTCCCCACGTTTTATCACCATCTGTCATTGCATTATATTATTATCATTAGGTCTAAGACTTAAGTATAAGAATCCTTTACACAGAGACTTTGTCTTTCCTGCTCATTGATATACACTGTTTAGAATAGTGCTTGGCATATTACAGGCACTCAATAAATATTTACTGAATGAATGAGTAACTGAGATGATGACAGAGGCACGTAATTACCAACTATGATAAACAAATGGGATGAGTGAGAGTACTTTCAAAACTATAAATATTCCCTACATGCAAGGAGATGATGTTTATTTGAATTTTAGGAAAAAATGCAATCTGCCAGAAGAAAACCTGTTTATTTTTTATATTGGTAGTTTTCTATTTAAACATTTATTCCCTAAGAGTTGCTCTTCCTTTGTATCCGTGGTTTGTAATATTGTGCTCTGTCTTTATGGTTCTAAAACCTCCTTCTCCCCAGTTCAGTTGCTCTCGAGAGTAGAGCTTCTTTACCTGGGTTGATGAACCTTTGTGAAATCCACTGTTGGCTCTTGAGGCCTCACGTATTCCTGGAAATTGTGTGCAATGTGTAGTGGCTCCTGTGTATTTTACTGGAGAGAGTTTTCATAACTATCTTTAGATTCTCAGAGTATATGACCCCCCCAAGTTTAAAAATCATTGCTTTAAAAATTTTTTATTTATCTTTTACCTTTTTTGTTGCTCTATTGGCATTTCTTTTTCTCTTCAAGATGGTTTCGTTTTCCTTTTAATTTTCATGATTGTATTTTGGTGTTTTTAAATGTTTACTGTCTGCTTATCCCTGGTGTGTGGTATTCTTGGTTTATTGTATGCATCTGATCTCAGCCCTTTTCTCTGTCTCTTTTTTGTCTGGCCAACAGTGTGGGGATGTGCCAACTGCAGGGTTGTCCTATCCAGCCCTTCTGGGACCTTTACTTCTCCGTGCTACCCTAATGACTACCCTAACAGCCAGGCTTGCATGTGGACCCTCCGAGCCCCCACCGGCTACATCATTCAGATAACATTTAATGACTTCGACATTGAAGAAGCTCCCAATTGCATTTATGACTCATTATCCCTTGATAATGGAGAGAGCCAGCCTAAATTTTGTGGAGCAACTGCCAAAGGCCTATCGTTTAACTCAAGTGCGAATGAGATGCATGTGTCCTTTTCAAGTGACTTTAGCATCCAGAAGAAAGGTTTCAATGCCAGCTACATCAGAGGTATGTAAACCAAAGGCGACGCCAACCTTCTGCTTTCATTTAACATGTTCTACAATAAACACAAGGACCAGTAGACAGAGTTATGCTCTTTTATGTGGATGTCAATGATTAGGATTAGGCTTTAAGGGCAAGAATCTGTTAATATTCTGAGTATTCTCATTAGCAAAATATAATCACCAGATCCAAAATCTGGTTACAGTACTGCTGAATTCTTTTATATTGTTCACATGTAGAACATTTAAAGGTTGCTTAGAAGATACTGTAGATATTACACTGCTAA